GACAAAACTACATGCATGCACTGAAAGAATATATTTTTAACATTTAATAACAACAACTAGATTTTAAAACAGAATTAAATTTGTAAAAGAAAGTCCCCAAAATGCATTTAAAAAATGTAAAAATTTCAATTCATTCAGCTTTTTATATTGTAAATAGGAAACAAATATATAAATGAAATTTTTGACCATTTAAGCACAATTTTTGATTGACCTCTTATACGCAGATTGCTTACTAAATTGATTTTGCTCAGTATTTTATATAGTAAGCTAGGGGGCGCCATTTTGGCTCTGTTTGCCGGCTCTAATGGATTTCTAAGGCGGAGCATAACAATTTGTTTGTGGGCCGAAACTGTTGCTCCGGCCGGGAAGTCTGCCACAATGATTATTACGATGATAACGGCGACGAAACGATGATGATGATGATGGCGATGGGATAATGTGATTTTTCCCAGCGATTTGGAGGCAGCCTGCATCATCGTTGCCGTTTTCATGCCAAGGCAGGCATACAAATTACATGACAATGGCCAAAGTTGTACAGTGTTTATCGGCTATGAGGGGCAAACGTTACCCAACTAAGCGACAGGGAAAAAAATGGCTAAAATCACTTGGCAAACTGTTTGCTCTGCTGATTGGCCACGACTTAATCAAGCTCTGCGTCAGCATTTTCATTCATTGAAAGATTGATTGATGCACTGACCGATGGCTAGTTTTTTTCCCCGCCCCCAAAAGCAAACATCTGGTCAACCATCCATCAGGGAGCAGTGTGGAATGGAGAATGGAGCCTGCTGCTGCTGACACACGGCAAATTGTCGAGTCCAGTCGCAACTCTTTGGCAACACACACACAGCTGGCATTCTTGATTCCGTTAAAGTTTTTCCTTTCCAAATGGGAAAATGGTTTGGGTTGTTGGGAAAACCCCTGCGGAAGAGAAGCCGAAGCCCGACCGCAGCAAATAGTTTGTGCCACCCATCCACTTGATATGGCAATGGCGAGCAACTTTAACAACGCTATCTAAACCAACTTTGGCATGTCAGGGCCTCGACTCCTCCTCCTCCTTCGCATTCAGCAACCCCCGCAGCTTGGAGTGAAAACTGGTTTGGGGCTATAAAATCAATAGCAGCCTTGCTGCGACATATACACACGCATATATTTATGCGGCACGCAGCTGCCTTGCCTCGTTTAGCGGGAAAACAGCTATAAATAGCTAAAATTCGGAAAACCGTAACTTCTATACTACTAAAGCTACAGACTTGTGCTGCATCTTGTTTGAAAGGTATTTTTAAATGCTATAAACGCCTTCTATATGCAATTTGTGTAAATGTAATAATTAAAAAGATATGAACAAAAGACAATTTTTTAAAACTTTTTTTTTTTAGCTTTTTTTATTTTTCTCAAAAACGGCTCTAACGATTTCCTTGAAAACTTTAAACTGTATACCCCTTGAGATTCCTTAAATTTTGGTATATAACACATTACTGTAAAAAGTCACGTTTAAAAGTTATTTTTATACGAAAATAGCCACTTTTGGCAGCTCGAACAACTAAAGCTTCCTGAGTATTGAATTTTGTGTGAGGGTATCCGAACTGTATTTTAGGGTCATGGAATCAGTAAATTTGCACTTAAGAGTTCCGTATAGGAATCTTTTGTTCTACGACTTTTGGAAAAAGCCGCTACTTTAGCGGGAAAAAAGCTAAAAATGGCTAAATTTCGTTAGTTTGTAAGTTCTACACTACAAAAGGTACAGACATGTGCCATACCTCGTTTAAAAGGTATTTTGAAATACTTTTTAACTTAATTTGTTTAAATACAATGGCTTACAAATTATGATTGACCAATTTAAATTTAAATGTATATATTAGCTCCTATGAGAGCAAATGTAAACAAACAAAAACTTCTGATATCAAATAAAAACACCTCTTAACGAGGTAAAAAACTAGTGACGATCGCACCTTCAACATACAAAAGTTCTGATATCAACATTTGTGACGAAAAATTATTACACTCGTCATTAAATAGACTTTCTAATATTTTTTCATTCGGCACGCTGCAATAGAAAATGCCTGTGAAGGGAAAAAGGCTGGAATAGTCTGCTAGGGCGGGCCGAATGAGAAAATATTAGAAAGTCTATTTAATGACGAGTGTAACAATTTTTCGTCACAAATGTTGATATCAGAACTTTAGTATGTTGAAGGTGCGATCGTCACTAGTTTTTTACCTCGTTAAGAGGTGTTTTTATTTGATAATAGATAGAGGAAATCCCCTAATGACCTCTTGTGCGTGTATTTGTGTTGCACATAAATCCTAGTGCAATTCCCTGGCAAATGGCATCCTCGGTGGTATGCTGACATTTAACGCTGAAGCGATTTGAAATCAAATCAATGTCAATGCCAGCCATAGTTGATGGCAGATTGCGCTGCGATGCGATGGATATGCGATACTGGCCTTGATTGCGCTGCCTGATTGCCATTGACCAGTGATGTGGGTGATGTGATGTGGGTCCTCCCAGGCAGATATGGCCGGGCATAATTGACAGACCAACAGGCATCTATCTGCCCTAAGGCACTCACACACGCAAAGCTGAGATACGGCCGGGAATGTGTAGTCTACTTTCAGGCAGACTGCCTAAAAGCGTTTCCGGTGATGGTGGTACGAGAATTTGCGCCTTGTTGCGTCCACTACGCAGTCAAGTGGCAAGTCCACGCCCACTCACGCCCAAATACTTACAATCAGTCTTACAGGGAAAAAAATAGGATACCAAGGTAAAGAATATATCATGGTTTTAGCATATAAAATAATATTATAATTGAAACTAAAGCTTAAACTTTTAGCTTTCAATTAAATATAGACAGAATAAAAGTTTGTAAAAAACAAATAAACTTGAAAAAAGTAAAAAGTCCTTAAATACCACATTATACATTTATTTTCGTTTCATAAAAAGATTGGAAATATACAAAAATATTTAAATAATATTATTGTAATTGTTAATTCATCCTCATTTTATTCCTTAAATTTTCACCGCAGTGCGGCGACTTTCGCTAACCGCCCGACTATTTAAATCTTACCCCAGAGCTTTGTGCCCGGCTTTGTGTGCGTATCCTTGCAGAAGTGTGAAATACAGTTATAAATAAATAAGAATGCTCAAAACTCACACACTCGAGAGACATAAAAAAAAGGGATATTGTTAAATAATAAACAGTTTACGCTCTGACAGCACACAACAGGCGTGAAAATGTTGGTCGGTGGGGGCGTGGCCGCTCAACTGTCAACACAAAATGATACACATCTGCACACCCACTCACATTCACATTCACATTCGCACCAGATAAGGACCCACTCACTCACACCATTCCGAACCATCCTACACCACAGCACACCATTCCACTCACAAGTTTTGTGACAAGAAGGCATTTCGAATCGACGATTCGTATAACGACCGTCATCAAACTTGTTGTTATAACGTCGCAGCTACAGCAACAAGGACAATATCAAAATGTCGCCAATAAGGGGGGTAAAATATGCTGACATCGCCAACTGTTCCCACTCGGTCCCGTATTAAACATGTCATTTGACGTCCCTGGACTCGAACACCGAACAGCGAACACCGAAACCTGTCAGACATCCTCTTGTTAGCATAACGAATCTAAATACCTCTGTCACGGAAGCCTGACAAATCTAGTCCCTGAAACAAAGCCCCGCACAAAGGATATAACAAACTGCAGCCGAACCGAACCATATCTGCCTGGGAGTGAAATCACCGACGCTCAAAGGGGGTTTGTGCCAAAGCGATTTATGGCTTAAGTAAAGTGTGCAAAACATTTACTGGCAGATTCAACTCGTTTTCAGATTTCATCAAAGGACTTTAAATCTCGGTGAAAGTGTCTGGGTTCCCCCAGTGAATCCCCACTGCGTTTGACATGCAAACTGGTAACTTTTGGTTCATGCTAAATATTTAATTCAGTCACTTTTTGCGACCCACATGCCTAATCTTAGCCAAGGGCTTACTTGGCCGCAATATCTGTTGGGCAATGGCTAATTGCGGATAGTATCTTCAAGTCGATGACGTGATAGCAACTATCAGGCAGACCCCATTTAAAACTGGATCGTATAACACGGCGAACCAGAAAGCTAGAATATCAAGATGAAGGGGAAGATATCAGGTCGCACAAACGTAATTGCCCCGACTTATCGCCAGTGATTCGGACCCACTATTGTATTTCTCCCCATCGAGTCGTCGTATCTGAGGCCGTTCCGTGCGTCATATACCATATACCTTATATATACGATCGCGAGGGGACTGGAAGACTGGGTAGAAAAAGCCAGCTGATATCTGCGGCTGCCAAAGTGGCGATTTGATTACACGACACGCGATCCGAATGCGAATGCTCTGATTTATACTTCATGAAAATCAAAATCGAAACAGAGCTAACGATTTCCCCAAGAGTCAAACACCGAAAGGACCGAAACCGGATCCCCAGGTGAGTTATCCGGCCACGCCCATCCACCGGCACCATCCATATACCGTTATCTCACCAGTACGGCGCACCTGGCTGAGCGGCACTGGTTCTGTGGCTCAGTTGCTTGCCAGGAAGCGAGCGAAGGCCACCCACCCGACGGGCGGGAAAAACTATGAATTGTCACGCCTGAGACGAACTGCGGGGCGTTCTACTATCCACTCTTGAGTCTCCAGCGTTAAGTTACCCGGCGAGTCTAGAGTCTCGATTCCCGATTCCCCATCTCCTCCGAGCACAGAGTCAATCCCATCCCGGAGTGAGTATCCCTGGGGACAAATCCCGCAGCACTTCACTTATATTAGAGTCGTGAATGAGAAGTCTAAGACTGTTCACAGAGGCGGTCAAAAGAGTAGCACCAGGAACTAAAATCCCTTGCCTATTAATTTCTTGTTAAATCGTAAAAGTGAAAAAACTCGATTTCTTATAATTTCAAGTGAAGTCAATACTTTTTGATTTTTAAATTTATTTCTTAAAATGCATATGGGAACATTGTGGATAAATACAACGATTTTTATTTAATTTAGTCTTTATTAAATAACAATTTAAACATTAGTTATCATTGACAAGCGAAAACAAGAATTTGTTGGGATGTTTTTACTCAATATTAGGCTTTAGATCGTGTTTTTTTATAAACTCGTGCACAACTATATGTTCAGGCCAAAATCCAGGACTTAAGATGATTCTATATATAGGATCAGGTGCAAGGATTTTAAAAGATGAAATCTTTCGTCTTTGTTTATTATATATTTTTCTGACTTGGATGTCATCGGGATCGGGATAAGAAAGTTTGGCAATAATGTAATGTTTAAGCGCTTCTTCAGTTGTTGATGTTGTGAGCCTGGAAACGAACACCGCCTTCAGTGGGGGAACAGCTGTTAGGATATTGGGGATTGGTATTATGGGTAGCACCACAGGAGCCGTATTATAATGTTTAATTTTTACTGAAGGCTCCAATAAAGGCGCGGAATTTGATATCCCAAGTTTGCGTTCAGTAACGGCCTCCCCAAAATTACATTTATCTTGTTTGCACGGTTCTGATCGAAACTCAGCATCTACAGGAGTAGCAGGCATTTGGCAGTTTAGTAAATCTGAAAAAATAAGATAATAATAATAAGGTTCTTAGCAAGAAGAAAATTTAATGTTGTTATACTTACGAGATGAAAATTCCGATTCCAGCTTCAAATACTTATCATGAACGGTTCGTAGTTCGCTGAAGAGCTCAGTAATTTCCATGCGTGTTTGCCTCATAAACCTTCCCATTTGCGATTTTATCACTCTGCAGTCTTCACAGGACCATTTGAGGCCATTTTTCGTATCAATTAAGTCCCGCACATTTTCAGTTATGCCTGCGCACTTGATATGGGCATATTCGTCACATAACCAGCACCTAACGTTCTCTTCAGTAGTAATCAAGTTGTTGAATTCGCAGTTATCTATGCAGCAGATCAACATATTCAGAGTTTTGTGAGGCAGACGAATAAATAACCAATGACAATAAAATAGAACTGTAATATTTTTTTAGTTTAGCAAAGATATCACAAAAATTACTGATAAAAAACTAAAGCAATATACGCAGGAAAGACAGTTGTCCCTAAAAGATTAGTATAACAAATAAACCAAAAATCGGGGAGCACAGATAAGCGGCGTCAATCTCTTCCGAAGTTCCAATGACGAATGAATAAAGAGGCCTCCAGATCGCTTATGTTGTATGATGGTGATTAGATTTTGGTTCGTTCAGTACTCAAACTGGCCTATCTCTTAAGCAAACAGTCTGTGTGGCCCAACTGTTTTCCAGTTTGAATTCAAAGAGCTTATGGAAAGCATGAATCTCTTAGAATCGTAGCAATAAATATTATGGTTATAACACCTGGAATATGAAATTTGTAGATTTACATCTCCGGGGCTAGAATTTTGATCATATCTGTATATATCATGACGCCGTGTGCGAATAGAAATGAAATGCACAGGAAAAGCCGCTTAGCTGGGAGACGGAAAATATGCGAATAAATTATGTGTGGCCACCTAGCATATATGTTTAGACATCCACATGAGATGCTGTAATCCTCACATGTCTGCCCGGCATATTGGGTCTCTGCAGGCGTCTTTTGTTCACGATGAAAGTGTTTTTGAAATGAAGAACCACACGGTCAACAAAATTAGCCCAATATTTGCATGGCTACAAAATGTGATTGCCTGCATTTTGTTAAACTTAGCTAAATACCGCATACAATAATAAACAAACCAGAGAAAATATCAAAATAATCGGGCAATGAGCGAGAGGCGTCGAAAAATTCGGTTGATAGAGTGCTCAAACCACAAGCGAATGGTAAATAATAAAAGGGGGGAATCATCACAGACATATGGGGGACTTTACTACTTGAAGGCCGTTTAAAATTGGACACGCTGAAAACGAACATAAAATATTACTTTTTAGATATTAATAAAATCCATTATTCATTGTAGATGGGAATTCGTCTTTCTATGTTTACAAGATAGATATTTTCCTTTGTGTAATTGAAAAAAGTGATTAGTCTGAAGGGGAAATAGAACCCAAGCGATAAGCGAATCAACAAATGAGCTGGCATTATCGGCTTTTACTGAAATATTTACTCAGAGCTGTAAGGCTATGAAATTACACAACATTTATAAATACATTTATTTATGGTCTTGGAAAAAATCGTATTTCTATTTAATTATACCATTGACATGTCGTCGCTACAGTTGGGAAGATAGCTTTTTTCCGACCCATTTTTTGCCATATTCTCCCGTGTCTGAGTTCGCCCGATTTCCCATCGAATGTAGGTGGCTGGCAAACCGAAAAAACACCGAGCGCAGAACAAAAGCAAAAGCCGTGCACACCAAATAATTATGAACTGGGGGACACGGACATGCCAGAGAAATGCCGACAGAGAAAGGGAGAAAGCAGAAAGCAGAGGCAGACAGACAGACGGACAGGTGGTAATATGGGGATTCTGGCGGTGGATTTAGTCGTGCGTTGGCTGCCAATTGCGAATGCGAATCGCGAAAAAATGGAATCCGAAATCTGTGCCAGCTGACGGGCCACCAAAACATATAAAAAAACATCTGTATCTGTACGGGGAATTACTTAACAGGCAATTAGCCGTGTTGTGTTTGATTTGCTAGACGATTTCGAACGGGAATGATCCTTGAACTTGGAACCAAACAGAAAAATTGGATCGACTACAAAACCGTCGGAAAACGTATGTGTATATTGTGAGCAACGTAACAGCGCCAGCGCAACGTAAACAAAATGCTGTTTTTTCGTTTGGCCCGCTCATCTTTTGCCATTCTCATTTTTACACCGAGAGAAATGCATATTCATAACATATTGATAACCTAATTTTTAGTATACATTTTTTTAACATGCGAAATTTTATATATCACTAAGAAATCACTCTGCAGAAATAATGAGAACAAATTATCTTTAAATATGCTTGAAGTATCATAATCATTTAACCCAAATTATGCCTGATTAATGTGGTGATAAATATATAATTTCGAGATTATATTCTAAGAAGTAACCAATAGTTTTTCTCTCTGCACTTCTATTCCCGTTCCCACGTTCATACTCTTTCATATTCGCTCAGTCGCATTCTCAGTCCTTGGCGAAACGCGGCGCGTTCGATCGCCAGACGATTATACTATTTTTTGTTTGTGCTAATTTTAAAAATCGCTGTTAATTCTTGATTTACGGCCTTTAACCAGGGTAAAGGCTGGCTGAAAATCAACGCTCGATACATTTAATAAGCTGAGCAATGTAAGGAACGTGGTAGCTGCATTTTTTGCCCGGGGGAAAGCTTTTTAATTAATTTGCAATCTCTTAACCCGACGTGCAACCGTTTTCCAATAATGGCCAAATGCAATTTACCGCCGGAATGAAAGGCGGAGAGAGGAGAAATTGAAACGCTTGCCCAGCATATGTTCCGTGCTCCCAGGGGCGTCTGTGTGTCTCATCTTCATTTACTTTCACCGCTTTCTCCCCCATTTTCCCAGCCAGGGCAGTCCTCCCTCTCGCTCTCTCCCCATCAGGCTGTCCCGCTCTTTGTCTATCTATATATCGGCGCTGCTGTCGGCTCTTGTTGTAATTGCTAAATTAATGCAAACGTTGATGATTATCTGAGCCCCTCCGCCATAAACCGTGGGGCATATTGATTTATTGGATTTCGAAGCCAGAGCCAACGTGTTGGCCCATCCAAATGAGTGTGTGCCTGTGATCCAAATGTGCATATTAAAAAAGACTCGAGTATAAATACGCCAAAAGTCTGAATGCAAACGCTTTAGCAGACGATTTAACTCGGCGAACTGTAAACGGAAAGTTCCAAGTGTCAGTTTATCTTGTAAAGAACTTCAGTTGGACACTGAAGAAAAAGGATGCAATATTTACGATACTTGATTTATCGGTTAAATGTCAAAAGTTATAATTAACAATACTTTAAAGCACTCTAAAAATAGTTGAATAATTAAAGCTTATGCTAATTAAAGTTTATTTAAATACTTTTAACAGAAGCAAAAAATAATTCAGCGTATACTTAACCATTATCCATTAGGATTGCTATCAAAACCTACATGCTTTATTATTATAATGATAATTAAATCTTTTTTGGTGCAGAAAGTATTTATTTAAACCAGAAAGTCACCTTCTACTGCTTGTAAGGTGTTTCAAAGTTTTCGGTGCAGAGTTTCGCTTGAGTTTGTGTTGCTGGAAGTTATTAAACTTAAGTTCCCATGCCGTCAGTCCCCCCTTTTTCACCAGTTGTCAACAGTTTTTATCTGCAAATGTGCAATTCCCTCGTATTCCCCAGCTTTTCTGCATTTATCTTCGGTCTGTCTTGTCAGTCACTTGTTTGCTTTTTGTTGCCATCCAAACGGTAATGTTTTTGGTTCCGTTTCTGGTTCCCGTTATTGACTTTGGAGAATTATGAACACATGTACACATAATATATACTATCGATCTTGGTCAAGCTGATTTCTATACACTTTCCTCTCTCTTTGGGCTTACAATTCAATTTGCTACAATTTTGCTGCAGCTGAAATTCATCTCATCTCAACTCGTCTGTTTCTCATTTTCTAGGAAAATGAACTTTGTTTGCCTGTAGTTTTCCGTCCGCTCTGGCAAATTTTATAGCTGCACTTTTGTTTATGTTTTATGCTGTATATTTACGCATTTAATTTCGTTTTCGTGTAAATAGACAAAACAGCTGAAAAACGACTGCCTGGCGAAGCTCAAAGCAAAGTTACGCCCCACAAACGCCCACCTCTATTTTTTGAACATTTGTTTTCAAAAAACAATTGAATAAATAAATTAAATAAGTTAATTTGCTTCAGCTGGGCAGTATACAAATATGTTTACAATATTTCAAATATTATTCACTGTAATTTAATTGTTTGTGGTTTTTATAATAGTTAAAATGGAGATAACAAACGGTGTTTTCAAATACATTTGAAATTAATGTAAGGTATATTTTGGCAGAGGTATTATAAGGGTAGACTTTCAGCATTATTCTTTAGTTTTTGCTGAAAGGTTTGTTGTATAATAGCAAAAATACTTCCTAATGACTGGTTTAAGCCTGCATTTATAGAACACTTTAAAGATATACTGGGTATTACTATTGCAGCACCCTACTTATGCATCTGGTGCCGTCCGTTTGGCGATCTGGGCGGGCTTTTCTAGCGACTATTTGCGGGCTTTCGCAACCTTCGGTGGCAGTGGCATTGCGCTTGGCGACACACTCGTGATGCAATGCACCCGAAATAGTCGCCCAAGAATAGGAACAAGTCAACTAACTAACCCCATCTCCCCTCTCTTCTGTTCCCTCAGGTGCAGCGGCCCAACTGCGTCAGAGTGTTGAACGTGCCATTGCGAGAATGCCTTCTCGCGGTCCCACGTCATAGTCACCATCATTAGCACCGGGCGACATTGACAACAAGCAACTAGCAACATTAATTGCAACTAGCTACAAGCAACTGCAACTGCACCAGCACAAATCACAGCCAAATCGAACGCAACAAAGCTTCCAGAGTCTGGCCAACAAGGGGCTGGCCCAGCCCAATCACTTCCAGTTAATCAGTTAAACCAAACCAGCCATGCAGTTGCTCCTCAAGTCGATCTTCACCTGCGCACTAGTCGTGTTCTTTGTGTACGCCACCGCCCAGTCGCTGCTGAAAGTCCAGGAGACGGAGACGCGGAGGGCGGCGTACTACAATGTGACCTCCTCGGATGATGACCGGAGTAGTAGTAATCTCAGCCAGGATAGCGATGGCGGTCACTTCCTGAGCCGCCGGCTGAGGCAGGTGCAGGCCCAGCTGCAGGTGAGGCAGGTGATGCACGGCGAGGAGGGCATGGAGGGGGCGCCCTCCCAGACGGAGGACGACAAGGCCCAGCTGATGAAAACCAATGTGGACGCGCCCGATGTGGAGGAGCTGCGCGAGTGCAGCGTGGGCCTGGTCCTACCCCTGTGGATGCCGCAGCGCAACATCT